CAGCTGATGGGTGACACGTGCACCAGAGGCTGCAGATTCTGTTCAGTAAAGACAGCAAAAAATCCACCTCCTCTGGATCCCCAGGAGCCTTACAACACAGCCAAGGCTATCGCTGAGTGGGGCTTGGATTACGTTGTGCTGACATCTGTGGACAGAGACGGTGCGTACGTCGCGCTCCTCGCTTTCAGTGTGAGCCCTCAGGTGTGCTACGTGGGGTAAGCACAGGCCTCGTATGCATTTATCAGCACAGCTGTCAAGGAGCTCTGTTCTAAAGGAGTCCACAGTGCTGAAACTTTGGCAAGTTCCTGCATATTCTTGGTATTTCTCCATATCTGGTAAAATACAATAGAAGTTACGCTGTTATTAAATCCCAAGAATATTAGAATACTAAATATTTAAATTTTTTTGTGAAATGCATACATAAACACCATATTCTGTTACTACATTAGCAAAAAAAACACCCAACCACAAACATTCATATACAATGCCATTACAGAACTTCTTCCAAACGCTAAATCTGTAATATAGTATATGTAATAAAAGGGAGCGGGGTTTAGGTTGGACATTAGGAGGAATTTTTTCCCAGAAAGGAGGATTAAACATTTGAATGGACTTACCAGGGAGGTGGTGGAATGACTGTCCCTGGAGGTGTTTAAGGAAAGAATGGATGTGGCTCTTAGTGCCATGGTCTAGTTGACATGGTGATTGGTCATAGGTTGGACTTAATGATCTCAGAGGTTTTTTCCAACCTAATTGATTCTGTGGTTCTGTGAAAACTGGAAGTTGCCCTTTTTAAAGGTTGTAGCTCCTCTGAAGTGACACCACATAGGAGGGGAAAACCACTGCAAAAACTGTTCAGTATGGTGGGAAGTCCAGCAGCTTCAAAGGGGCCTACAGAGCAGTAATATATATATCTCAATTTTTGTACAACTGTTTCTCAGACCAAAACTGTGTATAGGTAAAGCCATTCTGTGCTCAGGCTGACAGTGGACCTAGAGACAGGTAAAACTGAATCACAGTCACAGGTAGACTTTGTGCAGAACAAGGCTTGGTAGGATATCTTTTGTAAACTCTTGGCATAAGCGGTAAGATAAGACTGGGGTTTGACTGGTTTATTATTTCTCATTTAAACTTGAATCTGTTACGGGTTTTGTGTCTTTGCTAATAAGTGAATACATTTCTTGAACTGAAAGGTTAACTGAATAATTGAAATGCTTCTAGATATGCCTGACGGGGGAGCGGAACACTTTGCAAAGACAGTCTCGCATCTGAAAGAAAGGTGTGTCATTAATGTACTGCTGTTACTGTTATAACCTCAGAATATGGTACTGCATGTAGGTCAGAGCTGCCTGTAGCTGAGTATTCAGGAGCCGTGCAGATATAAAAGTCTGCCTTTAGCCTATCTGTGCTGCTTTTTCTAGTTTTTCATCTGTCTCATAGAATGGCCCCAAACTGTTTTGAATTTGGATGCATTTCCAATTCATCCCAGGCTTATGTAAAGCTAAGCACTGGATTCCTTCTTTAAACGGGCAACTGGTTTACCAGGAAATGAGTACATTCTTCTGAGGTGCAGTCATTCCTGAAGCCGGGGGCTCAAACACAGTATTGCTGCCACCACATGACAGAAGGAGTCTGGTTTCTCATTCATATGTGATCGGATTGCTTTTCATTCCCCCACAATGGCCATTTCCAAGCCTGTGAATGTACCTTCCTGCTTTCCCTGGCTGTGTCACTTTCACCCTGCATCGGGGCCCTGTACACCATTTGACAGCATACTTGTCTAGCTGCAGAATTCATTTGTATAACCTCATTTAAGTGTTTATTCAGTGTATCTTGGGACTCCAAAGGTTCCTTCAGTTTTTCCCACCAGTCTTTCTGAGCTGAAATCAGGTTCTTGGACACCAAGATGAGATTCCAGGGCAATAACTCAGAGTCCTCATATACTAGTAGGCAGGGTCATGGCTGCTCTGTATTTTGGAGGTATGATTTCAAACTCTTGTTAAGTTACATGACTGCAACAAAGACACATGAAAAATCTTTTATAAGCAGTACATGTGATTAAAACTGGTTTAGAGGCTGTTGGAAATGCTCTTACAGTTATTATTTGGTTTTTGTTGTATTCCAGCTCACATCGGTAAAATCAGGAATTGAACCCAGTTCCTGTTTAATTTGTTATAGAAGTATTTGCAGAAATCTGTTCTTTTAGAATTGTACCCTGAATTAACTTTGCTTTGCTATCAGAGCATCATTTATTAATTATTTATGTGTGGTTTTTTGCTCTCTTGAGTTTTTCGACAACACAAAATCCCACCGATGTGTTCCTTTTGTCCCTCCTTTTCAGGAATTCCAAAATCCTAGTGGAATGTCTAACTCCCGATTTCCGAGGGGACCTTAAGGCTGTGGAGAAAGTAGCGTTGTCGGGGCTGGATGTGTATGCGCACAACGTGGAGACGGTCCCGGAACTGCAGAGGTGGGCACCAGCACTGTGTGCGGCAAGGGGGTTGTAAAAGGACGCTCTTTCTGAGCTGCCCTGAAGCCCCCGTGGCTGTGGGAGGTGGCGGGAGCGGGCGGGGCCGGGATGCGGAGCGGCCCCCCCCCCCCCCCCCCCCCCCCCCCCCCCCCCCCCCCCCCCCCCCCCCCC